CCATGGATACTGCAGTGCCTAGGATTGAAGAGCTCGAGCTCAAGCTGCGCAAGTGTATTATTGAAAAAAATGATCTTGAAATTAAAATGGAAGAAGCTGTTCAGGATTCAGGTGATTTTAATATCTACATTTGTTCCTATGGAAGATGTAATTTATGGGACATCTGGTTGATTAAGATGTTACCTGCTGCAGGGAGAAATGATATTAAAGAAGAGTTTCGTGTTATGGCCTCAGCTTTGTCTAAGGAAATGGGCATGATGGAAGCACAGTTGAACCGATGGAAACAGACTGCACACGAAGCAGTTTCCTCGCGTGAACAATCTAAATCACTAAAAGCATTGTTAAATGAAAAGGTTCCCTGCTATTTTTTGTATTGGCCATATCCTTTTCAATTATTACAACACAAAAATTGAGATAAATGACTTGATTTAAATTTCTTCTATTTGCCCTTCATTTTTTGTACTTCATTCTAAAGGTGGCTTTATAGTTATAAATATAGGGCTCTTAGTTTGAAGACGGTGGAACATTCACATGAGCCCATGAAAATGTCTCATGATGAATGCCATTTACTTGGTCAGCCATTTCCTTCAATTGTTTTTTGATTACTTAGTGCATCTGTCTTCATTTCTTTGTTCAGTTGAGCGGTTGAGCATTCTACATGTGAGCTTTCTTTAAGAGAAGATGTGAAAGGGGTTTTGGTGTTTCCAGGCAATTTCCTTGTTAGTTGATCTGATGAGCTTGATGAGGAGACTGCCAAGTCACAAGGAGTTTCTATATAAGTGTGTTGTAAATGATTATAGAAAAAGAAGGAACTGCCTGCATATTTTTAATGAAAAATAATCTATTAAAAGTGAGCTGTTTTCCCATGGATGAGTCAATGCTTAATCCACAGTCTACTAAATATTTATAAAATAAAGCTTGTCTTGTTTTCCTTCACTGTTTTTAGCTAAAACTACTGCTTGTCTGTTACCTTCTACTATCAGTCTCTATTTAATGGGCGTCTATGAAATTGATGATTTTCATTTCATTGTTGACGCAGACAAATGAACAAAAATGCTTAGCAGGCAAATGTGCTGAACAGGCGGCAGACATAAAATCTCTTAAGACTTTGGTAAGTACTTTATTTTGAACATGATTCCTCTTCATTTCTAATTTACAAAGGTTTATATTTCTCTCATGAACCTAAACAAATACCTTTTCTTTTCATATTCTTTGTATGAATCAACCAATTTGGGGAATCATATAATTGAGTGCACATGCAAGGAATTTGTGTACTTCTAGATCATTAAGATATAGTTAAGATGAATGCAATATTCCAAGCTTAGGGCAATAATGTTAAAAACATTCATGTGTTATGATACTCATGACTGAATTGACAACAGTTACTGAAGGGTATTAATGTTGCAGATTGAGAAGTTGCAGAAGGAGAAACAGGAACTGCAAATAGTCTTGGACATGTATGGACAGGAGGGCTGTGACAACAGGTACATTCTTTTGAGAGTTTGATATCATGCAACCTATTCAACAAGCTAATGTCCTTTGGGTTCTGTATAGTTTAAGCTGAAAATTAGCAAGACATTATTTTCGGTTCTAGCCAATGAAGGCTATAACACTTAAATTTGACAGACATGTATGGTACATTTTTTTAGTGTCATCATTTAAAAAGGATATTAAAACCCTTTGAAACAACGGATAATTGTTGCTAAACAGTTTGCTTCCTTCCCAATTTACCTTAGTGACATTATTAATTTGCAGTATAGTCCATTAAAGAAACAGAGCATAACTTTCTATTTTTTCAGAATTATGTTTACCTGGCAATTCATCTGAATTGGTGAATTAAAAGAGCACCTCTTTACGTGTTTGCTTGTTTGGATTTTTAATTTTTGCAAAATTAAATGGATAAAACCACTTGAGTAACTGCATAAATAAGAAGTTCAGAAATATGATGGTAGCTCAAATATTAATTTGGTTAGTTTAGGATTATTTTTTTTCCTGTTTCTTTTGACACATGCCTGATCTTGTTTGTGCTTCTCTGAGTCCTTTAAATCTCATGATTTTAATTTTTGAATTTTTTTGTTTGTAGAAATATTAATGAAATAAAAGAATCAGAACGTAGAGCTCGTACCCAAGCTGAAGTTCTGAAAAGTGCATTGGATGAACACAGTCTAGAGTTGAGAGTCAAAGCTGCTAATGAAGCTGAGGCTGCTTGCCAACAAAGGCTTTCTGCTACTGAAGCTGAAATAGCTGAATTAAGAGCCAAATTGGATGCTTCTGAGCGGTTGGTTGCTATTTCATCATAAATCTTTTGATTGGCTGGAAGATCTATTTTTTCATTTAGTTATGGTCAAATTTCGCATTAAGTTTACAAATAAATTCTCAATCCTCATTTTTTGTTCCTGGAGTATTTGCTCATACATCTACATTTCTTTTTTAAAATAAAACTTCACCCTCTTCTTTTTATAGAGATCCACTAGGAATTGCCTTGCCTGTACCTGACAATGTTCTGCAAACTATTACATGCAGAGATGTTTCAGAGCTTAAAGAAGCCATCAAAAGTAAAGACAGGGAGGCTGAGGCATACATTTCTGAAATCGAGGTATGTTGCTAATGTCTTGTTTGTTTCCCATGAAGCCATAAGTTCTTGTTACTTCCAGCAATTTTGGTTCCTTAGTACTCGCCGCTATCATTTCCCCTTCTAATCTCCATACTCACCTATCTCACCACCCTGATACTTAATTCTTTACTCATCCAGAACATTGGCCAAGCTTATGAAGATATGCAGACACAAAACCAACACTTGTTGCAGCAAGTCGGTGAGAGGGACGACTACAATATCAAGGTTTGTCTTATAGTTCCCTGTCTTTATTATTGATTATCAAAACATTGCTTATTACTTTGTTAATTGGTTGGGGAAAAAATAGACGACCTTCTAGGCTAAGTGGTAGTGAAATTTGCAGTGTGTGATGTTCAGCCTTTCTTTTTCATGTGCCAGAGGTGGCCAAGCTAGCCCTTCAGTTTGCTGTGGTGGTCGGTTTGGTCATTTCCATGGCAATATAAGCCTGTCACACCCCTATGCATGCCCTGCCAACTACTTTGAACCGCTAATGCTAACTGCTAGCTTTGGTGAAAAAACAAAGTAGTTTAGTTGAAATGTTGACTTCTGATCTCTAATTAGACTGAGGTTTAAAAATGCAGCTGGTATCTGAGAGTGTGAAGACAAAGCAAACTCAAAACTTTCTACTCTCTGAGAAGCAGGCACTGGCAAAGCACCTTCAACAAGTTAATGCTTCAGTGGAATCATTAAAATTGAGGATTGCTCAAAGTGAAGAGCAGGTAATTTTTGTTTGAAAACATCGTGCAGGATTTGTCTTTTTGTTAATTTCTCTTATCAATTAGATGTTGAATCTTGCAGATGAAGCATTGTTTGATAGAGGCAGTTAGATCTACTGAAGAAGACAGACGTCTTGCAATCAATCTTGAAAGTGCACGGTGGGAATTGATGGAAGCTGAGAAGGAGTTGAAGTGGCTTAAGTATGCTGTTTCTTCTTCTGAAAAGGAGTATGAGCAGGTCCAGAAGAAGATAAATGAAATCCAAACGGAACTAGACAGTGAAAGGTGAGGCGTCTTTCTTTTTGACAGTTAGATTTGAAACTTCTGTGCATTGCAGAGTAGCATGGTGTTTTATACGTTGGATAGAAGACAAGGGCTTTATAGTTTTTGCTCTAGAATGCGACTTTTGTTTTTTTTTTTTGAACAACTTTGCCTTGTGCTCATATAGGTAATTATACTTTGCATTTGCATATGGATTATAGTTTTGGTTAAGCTGAATTTTGTGGTCTAGTTGGTGCTCTGTATCGGGCTTTTTAAGTAATTGCTGTGCACATCTTACACTTAACAAGAGTATGTTATAGTTTATGATTGAAGTTTAATGGTCGGTGAAGGTGTGGTAGGTTCTGTTAATTGTGTGAGGAGAAAAAACGCACATTAAGCATTTGGTACTGTAACATGTTAACTGTATTTGTATTTTTACTTGGCTTTTCTGTGCCTTCTTGCTTTTCTTTGTCTTCTCTTCCCTTTATTTTTTTTTAGAAAAAGAACTTTCTGCAAGCCTAATATCTACCTGACAAGGGAATTTTGCTATGCCAGGAGTGAAAGGAGAAGGCTTGAGGAAGAGCTCATGGAGGTGAACAATAAAGTTGCTGAGTTGACTTCTGAAACTGGTGCGGCTGCAATACAGAGACTTCAAGATGAGATAAAAGATTGTAAAAGTATTCTCAAGTGTAGTGTGTGTTCTGACCGGCCTAAGGAGGTGAGTGAACTTTCTGGCTGTTTTTTTTCACCTGATGACCTTGTCATTGTTCTTATAGATGGCTTGAAAGGCTGACTATTTTGGACTCGCTTTATATGTGGCAGGTTGTGATTGTGAAATGCTATCATCTGTTCTGCAATCCATGTATCCAAAGGAATTTAGAGATTCGCCATCGGAAATGCCCTGGATGTGGAACTGCATTCGGTCAGAATGATGTTCGGTTTGTTAAGATATGAACAAGCCTCTTGGGTTGTTGTTGAAGTTAGGTTTAGCATTTATTGCTTGTCATAGAAGTTGATGTCCAGGGTTAATTATCTGATGTGAGAACTAATGGTCTCATGTAACAAGATTGAAGATGAATTTATGTTCCGATGTAATTATTTGACCGATCGTGTGTCTGTAAATATATAACACGAAAAAGAAAAGCCCAGGGTGCTATTCTTCAATAGTTGATTTGTAAATGCTAGATGCCGGGCCTCACCGTCTCGGTTTCTTTTGTTCTTATGGCTTTGTAGAGGTATTCCTAGTATACGCCGAGTGGATTTGACTCAATAGGCAACGGTAGACATTTTGGGAAATGTTGAATTTTAGCCATACAAGGTCTAACCATGAGATCAGCTCTTTTATCTCCCACTGTCTAGTCATCAGGGAGTTATGCATGAAATTGTTCAATCTATTACCCTTTCGAACATTAGATGAAACGAAACGCATTTATAAATTTGTCGAGGTCAGAGGGAGGGAGGGGGAATGCCAAATTTATCTATTTCAATGATGAAGAAACTAACATTGGCGGTCACATGATTTCCTCACGCGTTCTCCTAGGACATCCAGTAAGGTACGCAAAATTACAGTGGATCATTCTCTGGCTTGCTCACGTCTCCTAGATTACCTCCTTGCCGTTGAGACGCAGTTGACACAGGAGTTGGAGAAAATGGATCATAAACATGCTGACCTCCGTGGAATGAAGCTGGTCTAGCAAATGCCAAGGAGATGATAGGCTGCTGCTTCGGAGCAAATGCTTGTCCTCGAGGAGCTATTGGAACTGGATAATTCTGCTGAAGTTGCAAGGGGTTTCCCGGTCTGGGAGGTAAAGGACCTTTTAAATAGGGCATGTGGGGAGTTGAACTTAAGTTCCCCGACACCATCTCCATGACTGGTTGTCCAAATGAATTTGCATTTGAAAATGCTGGAAGGCCGAGGGGAAGCGAGGGACCGGTAGGATTTCCAACAAAGGGAACTTGACCCATTTGATTGCTGACATGTGGTCTAGGAAACATCTGCCTGCCAGGTAGAGGAGTTGAATTAGGGACCTCAAAGTGAGAAGGTGGTCCTTGAGGTGCTGGCGATTGCATCGTGGGTCTAGGAAGCGGACCGTTTTGAGTAGCATGATGACTGCTAAGCCTGGGAGATATTTGGGGAGCTGGATTCTGCAGATGATGTGATTGAAAAGTAAAATCACCAGGACCAGAGTGCTGTATTTTTGCACCTGTTATTGTGGGTGATCTCATGGGAGCAAAATTTGAGCTAGTTCCAGAGAAAGCTCCTACAACTACTGAAATTGGCGTGGAACCAAGTACCGGGCTTATGGATGAAATTGGCAAAGGTGCAACCAGTGAAGATTGGATTAGGGTAGGACGATTCATAGAAACACTGTGTGATTGCAGAGAGGATGGTCCCGGTGGGAAGGTTACAGGAGAAACCATATTAGCTGCATTTGGAGGTGGCGCATTGGATGGAAAACCTAGCTGTGGAACAGTAGGCCATGGACCAGGTGAGGGAACTATAGGAATTGTTGTTTGTCCCATGTTGACAAAACCTAATGATGCCGGAACACTTGCAGGAGATCCAGACCACCCAGAAGGGACTAATAGCCCATCATGTGAACCACTTGACGAGGGTTGAAGTACTGGTGGCCTTGCAACAGAGTACAGCCCTGTTGGGTGGGGCTGGCTACCAGTAAAAGATCGAGGCTGTGGAGTAGGCATGGAAAAATTTCTAGGCTGATATGGATTTGAAAAGCCCTGTGCCAGTCTAGGCCCGAATAATGAAAGCATGGTTGAAGAATTGAAAGATGCTGACTGTAAAGGTATAGGATTGTTTAAAACTGGTGCTGAAGAAGTCTGAGGGGAAATTAAGCCTGGAGGTGGATGTAGAGGTGTGGCAGCAGGGAGCCATGAATTTTGATATTGGAACTGGCCTTGTTGAGGAGTAGAAGATAGCACCACTCCTTGGTTTACAGCAGTAGAGGCCGCCTGATTCTGACTAACATTTGCATTATCCCCAGCCGCTAAATTTCCCTACACAAAAGGTGATGATAGTTAGTCTAAGACCAAATCGCCTGCAGAAGTTAAAAGTAAAAAAGCATATACAATCCAGCTGTAAGATGCAAATGGACAACTATAAACAAACACACAAGTAATTTTCCGTGATCTTCAGTTCAGTGAAACTCACTGATACTGAGGTGATTAGCAATTCAATCAGGACAACAGCTGCGTCAACTTTCTCAAATGTGTCGGCTGTTACAAGAACACTCAACTCCTCATAAGCAACCTGAGTCTCATTGCCATCAGATGGAGAAATCTCAACCTGGAAAAAAAGTTCAAAATTATGGATACAAATGCCAAACACATTATACTTTAAGGAAGATATTTAGATACAGATGTTTCAGCAGTTAGATAGGAGTAAAAATCTCATTCACAAAAAGAAGACTAAAATGAACAGAACAATTAGAGGGGGAGCAAGAAGAGCAAGTTTATGACCAATTATCCTAGGAAGATAACTTCATACTAAGAGGATGAGTTACCTTCTCTCCTGTATGCGTGTTGGAACCATGTACTTGTATTTTGGCTCCAGTTTCCTATTCACAAAATCAGCAATTGAACATGGATAACTGAAACGGACAACTAATATCAAAGAAGCCGGGGTCCCTCAAAAGAAGAGGAAAAAAACACAATCCCATGTTTTCTCAGAAGCAGACAGGGGCATCAACCAAAGGATATACCTTTTCTAATCGCTTCTGAGTCTCGCTTCCAAGCCCAAATATTAGACCAATAAAATTATATCCAGGATACTCCTTGACCTGCAGAGGCAACATACCATAACCTTACACTTGTCATGATGTAGCAATATTACTCTCAAAATAAGTGACTGTGGCAACAGCTTGGTTATGAAATAAAAGAACACATAGCAGATGGGCGGCATTCACTTGGTGTCTTTAAACAATAACAGCACACAGATTGACCAAAATAAAGAACAAACATAATGAAGCTCAATCCAGCTACTGGCGTCCAGCATATCTAGTGCATGCTATTTCTAATGACTGTATAGGGAATTTTGCAGACCTCAAATTAAATCCCAATCTGGCTTCAGAAGTATCCATTCAAAATTTGAAGTAATTTACTCTTCATATCCGTAGGTTTGTAACTTAAAGTCTTGCACCCCAGCTGGCACATACATTATGTCCAAAAAATAGGTAGCAACAAGTAACTAGCTATAAATAGGAAAGCAAGCAAACACCACAGGTAAAAATAAACAAAAATAACAAAAAAATACCTACTGCTAAACCATTGCCAATAAATTCCTGCTAATCCAAACTCCTTACCTTATCTTCATTCTATGATAAAATATATAGGATAAAGCAAATGTTCATGGTTATTCTCAGGAAGGTTTACAAATTTGTCATAAAACTGCTCTTACGAAAGCAGAAGGTATCTTTTCATGTCGAGTATGGAAAAGGAGACAGGAAACGAGACCATCTAAACATTACTTACAGGGATGGGAACTGTGGTCTCTTTTAGCGAAGGCATATAATTGGGTGGAGCCTTGTAGCTTGGAGAGACAGGAAACGAGACCATCTAAACATTACTTACAGGGATGGGAACTGTGGTCTCTTTTAGCAAAGGCTTATAATTGGGTGGAGCCTTGTAGCTTGGATTCAATATAAGTATCTCACCTGGAAAATCAACAAAGATAGAATCAAGCCAGACATAACAAAATGGAAAAAGTAACATGATTTGATGAGAAACATCAAACATGCCTATAGCTTCCTGTTTTTCAAGTTCCAAGATCTCAGAGTTCTACACACAATAAGTCCGACAATAAGTTCTTGATGTCAAACAAAGAGTAATTAAAGTACTAATAAGGTCAATAGAAGATGAGCATCAATGCAAAATCAATAGCAACTTCACCTTGGTATGGATTTGTGGAATCGAAGATTTGCGATCTTCAAGCTCATTGGAGTCATGTGAGTCTCCATCCCCGGGTTCTGGAATTCCCAATTCCAGTTGTTGCACAATTTGATCCACTCGAATCTGCCCAAAATTTTTATATCACTTAGTGGCACCTGGAATGGGAAGCTTCAATTGCCTCCAACTGAGCAATATATTCTCCCACAAATTGAGGCGATAAATGCCTTGAAGCCATTTTAAATTTAGGAGATTAAATATTTTAAAAAATGAAAATCCAGGCAACTAAAAATTGGAAATTAAAAGCTCAAATGAGGGGGTTATAATATTCAAAAGAACAGGATAAAAATGAAGATTTACATGCGATGAATTCCAAATTTTACCTGGTATGCCAAGGCTCTTCCCCTTTTAACGGAAGCATCTTTTGTTAAATCAGGACCCCATTTGGTTTTCCTCTGAACCTGTTCCTGATTGGTACTTTCTCCGTTCACTGCATTTTTACTACCCGGCTTTTTACCTCCTTTGACGATGGAAACTAATGAACCCAAAAGTTTATTTTTAGGGATAACAAACCCTGACTTGGCTGCAAATAAAGACACCTTGGGACCACTAGTTGTCGATGCACTGGATGAAGAACTTGTTGCAGTCATCTTAATACTTTGAAGCTCAAACGCAGATGTCTTGTCTACCTACACTCATTCCATTCTCTGGATACCTTTGCACGGCGAACTAGACACGGCTGCCACAAATATACAAACTGATTATAATCAAAGGACAGTATACTCCGGGACATAAGTAAGACATTGTCTTTCAATTCTAAATTAAAACACCAAAAAGGATAAAACATCAAATTCACAAGCAAGTCAATTCATTTCGTAAGACACTATAACCACTTACAGATTCCAAACTAAATCCATATCATACGTTGTTATTTAATTTTTAACTCACGTTTTGATAAAAAAAAAAATTTAAAAATAGTTTACCTATAGCAATAATATAAAACATTAAGATTAATATTAAAAAAATAATATATTAAGGAGATAATTACTGAATTATGTAATATAAAATACTATAAATATATAATCTGATTCTGGTTATAAAAAATAATCACTATAATATAAAATAATATATATATAGGATTTGTTAATGTTAATTATAAAAGATAATCTCTATAATAATTATTATAATATTTCCTTAAATAATATGTATAAAATTTTTTTATATAATTGAATCTCCAGCAATATACATAAGGGAAGAAATTAACAAAAGAGAACAATTTAGATATATGAAAAATCACAGGCAAACAAAAAAATCCTAACCCTATTTTCATTAAAAAAAGGGTCACAGTACCCCCACTGCCGGCAAAAAATGAGCAAACAAACCGATCCCCATCTCTTTTGATTTTCTTCTTCCTGAGTCGCCGGACACAAGCTCCCTCTCTGACCAGAACTCCCTCTCTTAGTCTTCTGAACTAGAGACCTACCCCCATCATCTTCCCCAAAACTAGTTCTCTAGATCTTCTCCCTTACCCAAGCTACCACCCCCTTTCCTTGACAAAGAAACCATTTCATCTCTCGGCCAACCCCCACTCTTTTTTGGCCAAAACTAGAGAAACAAAGTCTCACCGAAAGCCCCCTCCATAAACACCAGCCCTCACTCCCCTTTCTTGCTGTAAGCATGCACCATCCTCCTTACCTTAGAGCTTCAAGCATTTCGATAAAAAGATGAGTGAAATTCCCAGTTAAGCATTCACATAGTGCAAAGCTGGTAGGAGGAGGAAAAGACCATAGTCTCATTTGTTCGCTAAAGGTAGGTAGTGGAGTCGGAGCAACTAAATCTATGGAACATAGAAAGAAAGTGGGATTTCATCATATATCTGTAAACTACACACACACACGAAAACAAAAAAAAAAAAAGTGAAAAACCCAGAGAGAATGAACACGAGAGCAAGACATGGACAAGCAAAAGGAAAGAACATACACAGAAGAAAACATAGAGAGACCAACGAGCACGCATTTGTCATTGCCTTCATCCCTTCGTTTCTATCTCCAGTTTCTTCTCCTCTAGCGGTGCAACTTTTTCTTCCATTGGCACGGTGAGCTCTGGTAAGCAATAACAACACCTCCTCTTTCTGCACCAATAGCGTTCACACCAGTTAGACCAAGGGTGCAACTTCTTCTTTGCCAGCGCAACAATCTCTTCACTGGCGCTTCTCAACAGCCTAGTAGTCTTCAACCGACTACAACCATGGGGGAAAATGAGATGAGGGCAGCAACCAATCGTCTCCCACTTCACCTCCAGCCACTACCTAACAGGTAAGTCTTTCTTTCCCTGTCTTTACCGAATTAATTACCCTACCACTATAGCATGCACATGCAAGCAACTATGGCAGGAGAATCTGTTGCTGGTTTGGGGCAGTAATCAGGTTGGGGTTTTTTTGTCTTTAATTGCAATTAACTGTGATGCTTGTGTTTCTTTAAAAAAATAAATATAAAAAATGTTTTTGTATGTTGGATACGGCCAATATCCTAATATATTTTGAATGTTCTTTTCATAAAAAAATATTGAAAGTTTTAAAAATGTGTACGTTCTTTTCATAAAAAAAAATTGGAAGTTTTAAAAATGTGTTTCCACATAAATTTCTTAAACATAAAATTTATTTTATTATATTTCTGGATTTTACAATATATTTGTAAAACTCGAAAGGGCATTGACCAATATTCCAAACAAATACAAAAATCTTAATTTGAAGAGAAGTTATTTATTATTCACTGTTAATATTTGGATAAAAAAACTTTAAATGATAAATACTTAAAATAATTTTCTAGAAATAATAAGCCATCACACATCATTGAAAAAAACCTTGATTATAATCAAGGACATTTCAATTTTTTTTTACTTCACAATATATGAGCCATAAGAATATGAAACACTAAGACAAAAATAGATTTTTAAAGTGTCTTGAATTTCCTTATATTTTTAAATTTTTGTCCCTCTTCCTTGCGATTTACAAGTCGTAAAATCTTGAAATACTAGAAAAAAAATAAGCATTTAAAACACATGGAATCTCTTTGAATTTTCATCTTAATAAATTTAATTTGAATCAAATCTAGAAAAACTTATAGGATTAGAAAACACCAACATTATAGTAATTATAAGGCAAATCAAATGTTAAACAACTTTTCTTAGATAATATGTAATGAGTATGCTAATACTTTTTTTTATACAACTAATCCCTTTTTTTATAATCTCTAAAATATTAATCACATAAATTTCTTAAACACAAAATTTATTTTATTGCATTTCTGGATTTTACAATATATTTGTAAAACTCGAAAGGGCATTGACCAGTATTCCAAACAAATACAAAAATCTTAATTTGAGGAGAAGTTATCTATTATTCACTGTTAATATTTGGATAAAGAAATCCTAAAGAGATAAATATCTAAAATATTATTGGAAATAACTTGTTGTTATTCACTATTAATATTTGGATAAAAAAACTTTAAATGATAAATACTTAAAATAATTTTCTAGAAATAATAAGCCATCACACATCATTGAAAAAAACCTTGATTATAATCAAGGACATTTCAATTTTTTTTTACTTCACAATATATGAGCCATAAGAATATGAAACACTAAGACAAAAATAGATTTTTAAAGTGTCTTGAATTTCCTTATATTTTTAAATTTTTGTCCCTCTTCCTTGCGATTTACAAGTCGTAAAATCTTGAAATACTAGAAAAAAAATAAGCATTTAAAACACATGGAATCTCTTTGAATTTTCATCTTAATAAATTTAATTTGAATCAAATCTAGAAAAACTTATGAGATTAGAAAACACCAATACTATAGTAACTATAAGGCAAATCAAATATTAAACAACTTATCTTAGATAATACGTAATGAGTGTGCTAATACCTTTTTTTATACAACTAGTTCCTTTTTTTATAATCTCTAAAATATTAATTAGGATTCTTAGTAATCAGAATTTCTTTATTCACAAAAACAAAAAATCCTAAGGTTGTCTTGCTCAGCCGCGAGACAGACTATACTCAACTCAAAATTGTTAGATTTGTGTAAGTTACACTTGTTTCAATCAATGGAGCTAAAAAAAAAATCTTGAAAAAAAATTCCTTCATGATTCTACAATACAGCATCAAGAAAATATCCAGGTTTCCAAAAAAAATTCAAAATTTTCTCAACCCGGGTTTTCTTTCTTGATGTAAAAGGAAAGATTCAAAAGAGCAAGTAGGAAAATACCAAAAATAAATAAAATAAATAAGCATCTCATGATATATATTTAATTAAATTTCTTTTTTCTTAATAGAAAAGAAAAAAGCAGAAATTTTGTTAAACTATTTAGCTAACAACAATATTATACGGTTTCTATGCAAAATTTAGAGACAAACAACTTCTTACTTCACTGCTTAATTACTATTTGATTTTCTCATGGAAAAAAAAAAACTTGTTTTCCATAGCCCTGAGAAAATATCTACACAGAGTCAAAGGGTACCTTCAAATGGAAGAGACGATTCCAAAAAGGCGGATTACTTGAGAGAGACAATACAGTCTGAGTCCCCCTGATGAAACTCGATGCAGAGCAAAGCAGACTCATGAGGCTTTTATACGTGCACAAACTCAAGCTACATCTTCATTTCGTTGGAGACTTTGGGCTTGGATTTTATGAATCATTCTTGATTGGGACAAAATATGGGCCTACAACGATCTTCTTTTCTTAAAAACCTCTGGCCCTGTTACTGAAAATGTACCCTTAGATGAGAGGTGCTCTAATGTTTCATGCATATTCGGCCCGGCCCAGGGCCTGGTCCAAAAATAGTTATTGGATCACCAACTCAGCCAATATTAATTATTTCTTTATCAGAATGATTTCGTGTCGTTCTTTTTTTTTTGTTTTTGAAAAACATTATTAAAAATTGACCTAATTAAGTTTTTTTCTGGATTTAACTAGATGTCAAGTATCAACTCGACAAATCAACCAAATCAATATTTTTTTTGGTAAATTATAACCCGACCCGAGTAAAACATACTTCAGGTAACATTTTCCGAGTCAACTCAGTTCGGATTTAATAATTATGGTTTCCTGTCAAATGTATGAATCCAGGACAAATCACTGTTAGTTTAACTGGTCACAGCGCTTACATGCTATGCTATCTCCTCCATTATATGTTTCAAGACCTAATAAACCGATCTCATCAAGGACACTTGCAAGTTAAATCACATTGCTGCTGTGAACCAAAAGGAAAATATTTTACCACATCAACTCGATTTTCATGGACACTGGCAATTTTTTAAGGGGAGAAAATGAACACTGATTTACAATTCAGCTTGTTTTTGTGATTTCTTCTAATACAAAAGCTCTGGATTCCATGATGGTGACAGAGAAACACAAATTCTCAGTTCATTGACTAAATCTGAAACCATGAAACTTCTGATCAACACTGTTCTATTAGTAACTCTCTTCGAATCACGCCAGCACTGGCAAAAGTCGTTCTCACCCACAAAAAATGTAAAAAATCCCATGCCAGAGCTCTATTCAAAACTGCTCGTGATTCATGCATCTCACATCATGGTTTTACAAGAAAAGCAGAAAAAGAACTGTGGGGAGTTTTGCAACTGCCATTTTCGAGAACTTGATCGATGGTTTATGGGCACTTCCATTCCACTGTGGTTTTGCACCCAGATAATCAAATGGGCAAGTAAAATGGAAAAAATTCTCGGGTCAGAGAAGCTTTCATCTTGCTAAACAGGAACACTCCATTCAAGCTTTAAGTGAAAGGGTAGAGGTTTGAAAAGAGCAAACTGCCAAGAAGGACGCACGCTGTTGGATACGCCCAGATCATGTATCCCGGCCATGTCTTATTCATACCAGGAGATATCATTAAATGCGATGCAAACCAGTAGAGAGGAGGACTGGCTGGCAAAAAACGAGTGGAAACCTGGTAATTATCAAGCAACAGGAACAAATTAAAAGATTCCCAGTTACATTAGAAAACTTGATCCATTTGTCAGAGGCCACAAATTATGCAAAACATGGTGAGTTTGGGTCAGTCTAGCCTGTTCGTGCGTGACAAAAAGTGCTGTGGCTACCATGAACACCAAGCGCAGAGAACAAGGGAGGATGAAGGCAGACAAGCTTAGCTTATTTAATGGATCATATTCATTCGGGACAGGAGTACATCTCTCATCATTATCCCCCTTGATCTTCTGCCTCCTCTGCCTAAAATTATGTTTTCTTGTTACAAGCATGATCTTCCAAAATATTGTTAATTCATGGACAAAAAATTCAACAGAGTTGACATTATGATACTTAATTCTTTATTCAACAGAGAAACACTGTTATTAGAACCCATGGTACCAAGCTTTGAGATTTGAAAATCGTTGTCTATGATTCTATCATTTGCCAACAAGGGTAAACCAACTTTGCGTATGGATGCAATGAGTGAATTGTAACTAATGTAGTAGGACAACATTAAATTTCTATTAAGGAGATAAACATGATCAGTGAATTCAAACTGTCATGATTCTTTCACCATACATACAGTACAGCAAAGTGCAGACAAATGGCATCATCATCCTTTGGAGATTCTTGGCTGCGTTGTTGAGTTTTAATTGCTCTGCCTTGTGCGCTGCTTGCCATTAAGTCTTCGATGATAAAGTTGATGTGAGGCTGCATTGAAAAGGGGCTCTCATATTTCCTTGAAAATCTCGAGTTGGCATGGCTGCACTCCCCATGATTCATCAAGGGGGAATGGGTCCCCCACGTCAGCTTTTGGCCCCATGTAAGTGCCCGTGTAGCGATCACCGGTTTGGATGTTCTTATGGCTGTCTGTATCCGGCGGCTTTTAATATTTTAATATTATTTTTAGAAGCTATAATTTTTAAGTTTTTAAGAACTTATAATCACAGCAGTCGTAGCTTTTATATTTTTTTTTCAAAATAATATTAAAAAAAATAAAAACTGAATTTAGATAGATCATAGATCAACCTAGATGGTCATCCAGGTTAATGTTTTTTTATCTAAATTAAAATCAAACTTCAAATCATGAGTTTTTCAAATAAAGATGTGAGCCATGATTGAGTTTAATAATTTTTAACACAACTGGCTTTGCTTTAATCAAATCAATGCCGATTAGCTGGAATCTAGCCATTCCCAGTTCACACCAGTATTCTCAAGCGAAGGCTTAATTATAACAATAAACAAAATTATTATATGATTGAGTCTTGCTCTGCTCTCTGGGATCTAATTCAAATTAATTAACAAGAAATTATTAAAAACAAATTTACGATAAACACAGCATCCGATCTCTCGAAATCTTGACCAATGAAGGATTTAATACACGAAGATAAATTAAAGTTGATAAGATTAGTGTTATCACAATTAACAGCTGAGCCAGTCCTTCTTGGCGAAGACATCATTTTATGAACTATAAATTAACGTTAATCGCGCAAAAATTTAGAAAAAGTTGCGAGGTTAATATAATCTAATAGTTTCTCTCAGTATCGACCTCGTAAGGCTTCCCACTACATCCAAAATCCAAAACAGACACCGTATGAAAAATTCTCTTGATGAACAATATGTTGATAAAATTATCCAAAATTAAATCAAGACCCTTGTCATAAGTTGGATTTAATTAGAGTGAATATAAAATGATATTATTTATAAATTTTATTTTTATTAAAAAATTAAATAATATTATTTTAATAAAAAATTAAATTAAATCAACTCTAGCTTAACTCTATATAAAACCTAGCTTGAATTTTATGAGTTAAAATTCACTTATCAAATCAAACTGAATAAATAAAGTAATAAGAATAAAAAGATAACACAGAACTCCAAAATTTAAGGGAAATCTAATGGCACAATGTATCATTGATTTTGATGCGATAACCATTAATTTTGATGTGATAACCATTGCATCAATCAATTATTAGAAGTTATTAGTTATTTGACATATATTTTGCTAGGCTAAAATCTTTTTTTTAAAAAAATAAACATGTAAGCCTTTTTAATGTGTTTTTTATATATAAAAAAAACTTGTGAAAATATTTAATAAAATAAATTAAAAACTATATATATTAATAAATAAATTAAAATACACTAACAAAAAAAAATTAAAAATTAAAAATTAGATACAAACAAAAATATTTAACTTTGAATCTTGAATCTTGAACACAATTGACCTTCGTGACTTTGTTTACAAAAATTTATTTATTTCAATGATAATAAAAATAAAAATATATGAAATTAATTAAATAAAAAATATATTATGTAAAGCTACATATATTAAAAATATGTTCTAAAAATAATTTTTTAATTTTCTAAAATAAATTTTATTTTTTATAAAACATAAAAAAATTTATAGATAAATTAAAACAATCTCTCAAAAAAATTAAATACATGCAACATAAATTAAAAATAATTATTATTTAAAATAAGTTAGATAAAAAAATAAAAGAAAGGAGGTATTAATTTAAATATAAATTTAAATTATTTTAAAAAAATAAATAAAAAATTATTGAGCCTGAGAAACTAAGCAACCTGCCTGCCCCATCTAATAAAGGCTTGTGCACAGGCATGTAAGAGTAGGATAGCATGCGTGGACCTATCCGGGCTAAGATATTTTTTTCTAGATAGTTTTAAAGTAAAAATAATAATAATAATGAACTCCTCCCATTAATTTCAAGTAAATAAAAAAATAATAATGAACTCCTCCCATTAATTTCACATTAATATTGATTTTTTATGGCTGAAATCGATTGCCAACATAAATTTTCCAAGTCATGGAGACTACAGTACATATCTTTCTCGGATTTCATTAAAGCCACACATTTGTTTTCATATCTTTCACTTTTACCCCCTATATTTCAATTTCACCCTTCCCAAACAATCTAGCCAATAGTTTGTTCCAGTAAAAGCATATATATATATATAGAAAGAGTCAATGTGAATAGTACGGTATTTTGCATAGTGAATTCCCGTGTCTTTTATATTTATAGTTAATATTTTTGAATATGTGATGGATATCCATATTGCAACCTTTCCAAATCAAGGACCAATATAATTAATGGTGGCTGCAGATATAATTGAAGTAGCTTACGGTGATTAATTAATCTCTAATTAGTTTCAATTAAGATCACATCCTTATATAATTATCACCATAAATCAATTACCTTTTTTTAATCACAACAGCTTTTGCAAGCAAGCAACATTATTTAGGTGTAAGGTTATAGAGAGGGGAAGCATTGAGCTTATATATTTCTTATCTTGAAACGAAATCAACAGGCATTCATTTGTGTAAACGTGTTTGGTAATATCATTATGCCTCTTGCAACTTGGGAGAAGTAAGACAATATGAGCCATGGTAATATAACCCGGTTTGCTTGGCTCAAAACTCTAACCATGAATTAAATGGGTTAATTAAAATAATATTGTTTTAATTTTTTAAATTAAAATGAGATTATTTTAAAATAAAATTTAAATTTAAACTAAATTTTGAATATGTTATAGTTTAACTCACTTAGTAAACCATGTCAAAATAAATTATTTTTTGGTTAATTTTTTCTTGAACACCTAAATTAAGATATGAATAAGTCAAATTTAGCTGGCTAGATTTAATAACTATCACATGAATCAAATGTACAAGATTTTAACTAACAATAACCATAATCCATCACTAACTCTGTCTATAGCATGACATTGACATTAACAAGGACAATAAAACTTTTGAAAATTTGGTTTATGGAGTAATTAGGTTAGGTTTGGTATCCATGTTATCAATATACTTGAATTGAAAATAATGACTAAAATTATTGGAGGGTAAAGTTAGAAACAATAGGAATTTAAAGAAAGAATTAATATTATTCGTAACTTTGAAAATAATAATTAAAATCATTGCTATCCACATTATTAATTTGGACTCGAAAGACCTGTCAAGCTAGATTAATACTTATCGGCATAACTTCCCCTGTAAAAGCTAAGTTAAGAAAAACAAAAGAAATTGGTTATTATCACATGGGAAGAGGTGGTAAACCTAATTATTTTAGACTTAATACCTTATGCACAGAAGGGAATTTTGTGTCCTATCACAAGGGTTCTAGCAATGAAACAGATAAAGCATGCCATGCATTATTTCGTGTCTGACTTTGTCACACATGATCATGCAGGCAAAGAGACAAATTGTGAGCTTGAATAATTTGTTTTTAATCACAGACTCGATCCATGTAATCACGGATTCATGTAAGAAGAGAGTCCAAGTTATATCACGGGTTGCCCAAACAAAAATAAAGGGCTATGCTCACACCCATCTCTCTTTTGAAAATTGAGCTCGATTCTAGAAAGAAACCATCATCTATAGAGGACAAAATCCCCTATTGGATTGCCAATGTTGGATTCAGGAAAGTAGTCTCTCTTAATTCAAGCCAACTATAAGATTCTAATAATTCTTTTCTTTTAGAGTGAAAGATGGCAATGCTTTTCAACGCACCTTTTGACATGGATATCATAGATTTAATGGAAATTTCAGTAGCAGGGAAGCCTTGTTTCGTGCTAGAGCAGCTGTTTTGAAGTTTTTTTTTAAAAAAATAAATCAGATTAAATCTTATTTAGATTTTAATCGAGTTCATCGAATCACGGGATAATATGCCGAATCGATAAGTCAGCACCCAGTCTAATTCATCATGAAATCCAGCCCAAGTCAAGTATGAACGGGCACCTTTTGATCCATATTATAACAACGGACGGGATTCATACAATGCTTGTCTACATCATGACAAATACCATGTGAATTCTACTTATAAATTTCATGGTTACTAGCATTATTATTATTTCTTGTCACCACACCAGTGTACCAACTACCTTTCGCATCCTTTATATTGACAGAAGTGATCACAAGCTAAGCATGAAAAAGATTAGCTTTTGAGGTGTCTTTTCGTTTCTCTCAAGGTCAAAAACTCCTCCCTCAAAAAATGGGCTCAGAAGGTCTTGTGACTGCTTCAGCAATTCCATACATCTTGGTGCTGTTAATGCTAGTTGGTACTGCAAGATCAGACTTTCAGCAAGATAGAACAGAGTGTGCAGACCAACTAGTAGGTCTAGCTACATGTCTTCCATATGTTGGTGGTGATGCTAAGGCACCCACCATAGATTGTTGCAGTGGGCTTAAACAAGTGTTGGATAAGAGCGTGAAATGTCTCTGTGTCCTCATTAAAGACCGGGACAACCCTGATCTTGGTATCAAGTTCAATGTTAGTCTTGTTGCTAAACTTCCTAGCTTGTGCCATGCGCCAGTTAATGTCACAAAATGCATCGGTAAGTCCACAAGAACTCATGGATACTGTCCATTGAAATACAATCAGAAATTTGAAGTGCCCTGTTGAGTGGCTTTTTATTCCCCTTTTCAGATATTCTGCACCTGCCTGCTGGCTCACCGGATGCGAAGGTCTTTGCAGGATTTGCCAACATCACCGGAGGAAGTGTTGCTGCCCCAGTTGCCAGTGGTAAAAGCCTCTAGTCCTGGACTTAGACATGGATATTTATGGCTTGGTTACTAAGATTTAAGCTTGTTCTAGTTTATATTTGGTGTTACTGTTTAGCCCTTCTGATTCCTTGTTTGTTTTCTTTAAAAGCGAATTCAACTGGCAGTAAATCAAGCGCTGCTGCAGAGAAGAGTGGTGCTGAGAGGCCAGCAAACAGATGGCTTGTAACAGCAGAGGTTCTGTGTGGATTATTACTATGGACATTCACATCTTTTGGTTTCTGATGATAGGTATTCTATGCGTGGCTATGATAAAATTTTCTCCCTAAATATGTTCATCAAATATATGTAACTCAATTTATGGACAGTTTTCTACTATCTCTGTTGTCTCTTCTGATCCTTCTGTTTTGGAAGAAATTAATTAATTAACTAATTCTCTCTATCTTCTGTGTCTTCCCATTATATTTCCAACGTGATAGTTATTAAAGGGGAACATGGATTAAATGGAAATGTGATGAGGAGCAGATCATTTCATTAAAGCTTGTGCCTTTTCCATTCTTGCAAGAAACTTAGTTTGAACCATCAATTCTCGCATTTAGTGCTCTGGATCTACTAACTGTTCGCTCTGTAAAGATAAGGTTCATTTAAAGTTTTCCAGACCAGCTGCAGGTGTTGAGTGATGATTGGATTATTCTTTTGTTCTCCGATCAACTTTCGAGTTTATCATTGCAATAACTATGATTGTGGTTTGAAAAGTTAAAGTTAAAAAAAGAAGTTATAAATTGTAATTGTTTCAATTAAAGTTTCAATTGAATTTAAACTTGTGTGGGTGGGTGTGTGCAAGCCTCCCATCAAAATTGGAAGATGATATCAACCAGGAAACATTAGATCGAAACTAAATTATTTTCCATTGGGATTTGAAAAGGTCATTAACACAGTCCAAATACAGTACCTACTTATCCATTATTGGAATGTTTAGTACTATGGTGGCCCGCAAGCATGAAAGTCTTACATGGTCGCTGTGTTCATTGTATCTAAATTCTAAAGGCAATGTACGAAGCTATGCAACTTTTTCTAAACAGAAGCATAGAACCAAGAACGGGTGATCTTGTGATAGGGAAAATGGTTCCGTGTACATGTCCTTGGACTGCTTCATGACAGATTCATGGGCATGGAGACAGACAAAAGAAATATAGAAGTGGTTTATTATTATTTTCACTACTGCCATTTAAAGCACAAGAGATTAGTGATAGTTTATGTATACACGTTTTCGAGACGAAGAAGAAGAAACAGAGAAGTATATTTCCCTATCATTATGTTTGGAAAGACAAAAACCCAGTCCAAATCTGCCCAATATGCATGTATATTACTCCAACTAAACATGTATTTGTTACTTCTGTCACGGGGCATTAATAAAATGCAATCTAGGAATGGTGTTTTTCCAGCTTGATCCATGCATATAGGATGGAATGATTAGCTTGAGGTTTGATGAATGCTGCATGTTCGATTCAATAAAACGAGCCAGTTGATTATAATCAGCATTTAATCTAATAGAACTATATTATATGCATCCTTATATGTTCTTTAGGGCATATTCAAGCACATGATCCATGTATGTTTTGTTCCCTATACCTTATTACAATGTTGAAGCTACAGTTCATCGCGTAGACTCATATGATGTAAGCCAATCGCCCGAGTTCGTGTACCAAAGGCATCAATGCGCCTCCCTTTTTGTGGATGTCAATACATGTCATCATGCCATGCCATGCCATGCCATGTTAGGCCATCTAATCCAATAATTGGACCTCATGTCCATCCCTTTTTGTGGCCCCATTTTTCTTTTCATCTTTCCTTTTTCCTTTTAAATAATGGTGTTTAAGTGCAAGGATGGAGCCATGGACCTAGTCTATAAGGCATGAGAGCCCATCAACAACTACTGCTACAGGGCACAGGAAAAGGGCTTGGCCTAGACTGGTTTGGTTCAATGCATGTTACTCAAGCAACAATGATGGTTGCAACTTGCAACCTAGGGGAATGCATTTGCCAGTGAAGTTACTAAACCCAAGACACAAATTATGATTAATTATATAATAAATAATAAAATTTAATGTCTAATAAATCAGAGGAAGATAGATAAAAAAATATAAATTATACAAAAAATTACAGGAAAAAAATCATTATAATAAATAGTGTTTTATAAAGTGTCGCGTAATAAAAGCAATCTTTCTTTTAAATTTTGTTAATTTCAATGTTTAGATCCGGTTAAAAACTTAATTGGTTTGAAATTTAATCTAGTAGTATTAAAATTGTATTTTTTATTTTTAACACAACATATCAGAATGGTTTAAAATAATTAAAAAATAAAATAAAATATTTGAAAAACATAATTAGACAACGACACCCCCGTTAAAACTACAGGGCAACAATTGAAACGGACAGGGAGACTAAAGAAAAGAAAATTAAAACAAAATGTGTGGTGGACCCTCATTAAAACTATAGCGCAACCTGTAGGGTACAGTACAATCATTAATTGTACACATCCTCCCACCACCTACCTCACCTTGACCCGTCAGAGTTTTGCAAGTTAAGGTCCCCCGACGATATAGCTAGAAAAAGATAATTTTCGAAGATGGATTAGACTGTGATTATAAGATTTAGAAACAACCGTTTATGCATTCATTTTTAACCTCTAATTCACCAATAATATTATAATATCTTTTATTTTTTATTTAAAATATCTTTAATTGAATTATTTAAAAAAATCTATTTATACTGGAATTTTTATCATTAAAACATCCTCTTGATAATAGATTCAACGTGTAATTTGTTTTGGTAACTTAGGTTTTTAAGCTTAGTTTGAACCTATCACAATTAATTTTTAAATTTAATGAATACCCTACAAGTTTAATAATTAAATAAAGGATCACAGGAGTAATAGATATGTATATAAAAAATTGAACCAAGTTGCTAGAAAAAAAAGATAATCCCTCTCATAATTACTATAATTACTGGGCACAATCTAAATGCAAAATAAAATTCTCTTCATTTCTCATGTGTTTGCTTATGTTAGGTAGATTAACTTGATTATTTGAACTACCTAGTTTTATTATAATAATAATATAGTGATATAAAATTATTGTAGGTTCGGTTAATCAGGATATAAACCGTTTTAAATTAGAGACCATACCATAATTTTTAAAAAGATAAAAGTAATTTCTCCTTATTATAATTGCATGTTTATTGTAAAAATCAATTACTTCAAAGTGAACACAATACAAAGCTTATCGATAATCCAAGATAAATCAATATTGTATGCTTGGCCATGTGCTCTCTTGCCTCTTCTCTGTACTTATTTCAAAAGAAGCCAAACTACCATTCCCATCAGGATAATATACTCTTTTTTTTTTTAATTTTGTTAATTTCAATGTTTAGATTGGTAAAAAGATCCAATCATTATCTGGATTGGATTTGATAAATCTAAAACTTAACTGGTTTGAAATTTAATCTATTAGTATTAAAATTTTATTTTTTATTTTTAACACAACATATCGGAATGGTTTAAAATAGTTAAAAAATAAAATAAAATATTTGAAAAACATAATTAGACAACGACACCCCCGTTAAAACTACAGGGCAACAATTGAAACGGACAGGGAGACTAAAGAAAAGAAAATTAAAACAAAATGTGTGGTGGACCCTCATTAAAACTATAGCGCAACCTGTAGGGTACAGTACAATCATTAATTGTACACATCCTCCCACCACCTACCTCACCTTGACCCGTCAGAGTTTTGCAAGTTAAGGTCCCCCGACGATATAGCTAGAAAAAGATAATTTTCGAAGATGGATTAGACTGTGATTATAAGATTTAGAAACAACCGTTTATGCATTCATTTTTAACCTCTAATTCACCAATAATATTATAAAATCTTTCATATATTTTTTTATTTAAGATATTTTTAATTAGATTATTTTAAAAAATATGTTTATACTAGGATTTTATCCACTAAAATATTCTTTTGACAATAAATTTTATGTTAATAAAGTAAATTTTTGTTCGATAACTTGAATCTTCGGGTCAATTTAAGTACATTATAATTAATTTTTAAATTTATTAAATATTTTGAAGTTCAATAATCAAATAAAATATCATAAAAATAATAAACATGTATATAAAAAAACAAACTCAAATACTAAAAAAAAAAGGTTTCTTTCATAATGAGTGGATACAGTCTAAATGCAAAGTAAAATTCTCTTCATCTCTCATGTGTTTACTTTAATGTTAGGTGTGGATTGAATTGATTATTTGAACTGCCTAGTTTTATTATAATAATATAGTGATATAAAATTATTGTAGGTTCGGTTAATCAGGATATAAACCGTTTTAAATTAGAGACCATACCATAATTTTTAAAAAGATAAAAGTAATTTCTCCTTATTATAATTGCATGTTTATTGTAAAAATCAATTACTTCAAAGTGAACACAATCTAAAGCTTATCGATAATCCAAGATAAATCAATATTTTATGCTTGGCCATGTGCTCTCTTACCTCTTCTCTGTACTTATCTCAAAAGAAGCCAAACTACCATTCCCATGAAGATAATATATATATATATATATATATTTAAAAAATTCTTATCAAGATAGCTTAAAAAAAGGAGTCAAGGTGGTCAACAAAATCCAAGAGATAGGACAGGTGCATCTTTCTCCACCAACAAAACCAAAACTTGTCCATCCAATCACGCTTCCACTTGTCTTTTTCTGACCTAAATCTCACCTCCTTGCGTTGATAAGATAAAAAAATAAATATAAAAAAGAAGAGATAAAATTAAAAATTAATAAAAAAAATATCACTACCATGCGTTGAGTATAGTCAAAACTCGAATATTGTAAGAGTACTCTACAGACTTCGTACATCGATTTTGATTGAATTCTTTCTCATACCAGTTTTAAAGGTATTGTTAATACCAATTTAATATTTAAAAAATAAAAATTTTTTCTGCCTTTTCTCCAATAATATTTGAATTCAAAAATCATAAATAATAATAATAATAATAATAATAATAAAAACAACAATATTCATTATATATACTAAAAAAATGATATTTTTTTAGTAAAAATAACATAATTATAAGTTTTTTCTTAGAAAACAATTTTTTCATATATTTTTTTATACTTTATATTTTTATCATTTCATATTGATCTATTTATTACTTTTTTTATTTTTTTAATATTGTTTTAGATTTTTTATATTTTTAAATATTATTTTATAATTTTTTACACTTTAAATATTTATCACTCTACACTTAGTTTATTTACATCATTCTTTTTGTTTTTATCTTTATTATTTTATAATTTACTTTTTATTTTTTCCTTTATATATATTTTTAAATTATCATACAAAAATTAAAAAAAGATATTTCATTGTAGCAATTGTAATATTATTATATTTTTTTAATACATTAAAAATAAACTCAAGATCTTAATTATTTTTATTAATATATATGATTTTTATTATATTTTATTATATATAAACATTAATATTTTAATTCATGGTTATATTTTTTTATATAAAAAAATATGTTAATAATTTTTATATATTAATTTTTTATATTAAAAGAATTATCTGACCCGTAACGAGTCAAGTTAAACAAAAACGTTGATATTTTATTTTTTATATTTATTAATATTGATAATTTTGATATATTTAATTAAATATACACAAAAATGTTTTTATATATAATTTTTGGTGTATTTAATTAGTTTTTTCTTTCCTTCACGCGGCTAAGCGCGGGTGAAATATCTGTTTTCTAATATAAAACATCTTCAAGACGAAATCCACGGACATGATACAACTCTCCAGCCCCCCAATATCCTTGGAAACACAACGCCTCTTTTTCTTCAAAGAAACCTCCATCTTCTCACTCCCCTTAATCCAAAACCCATCAAGAGAAACTAAAATTCATGGCAAATTCTCGTTTGGGTATCACTTTTTTATCTCTAATTCTCTTCTTTTCTCTCTCAAAAACCACTCTTTCACAAGACCCTCCTCCTACGGTCTTTGAAATCTTGCCAAGATTTGGCCTCCCAAGTGGTCTATTACCTAACACAGTTAAAAGTTACAGCCTTTCTGATGATGGTAGCTTTACTGTCTATCTAGAGAAGGAATGTTATGTTGAATTTGATTACTTGGTGTTTTATGAGAAGAAAATAACAGGGAAATTGGGTTATGGGTCTATCACAAATTTGAAGGGGATTCAGGTTCAAAAGTTCTTTGTTTGGCTTGATGTTGATGAGATCAAGGTTGATTTGCCACCGTCTGATTCGATTTATTTTCAAGTTGGGTGGATTAATAAGAAGCTTGATGCTGATCAGTTTAAGACCGTACATTCTTGCCGTGCTGGTGTCTCCTCTGGGTCTTGTCGTGGACTGTGGAAGCAGTTTCTCGAGGTATTTACTTGTTTTGTTTGATCAATATTTACTCTGGAAAATAAATATTTCCTTATTAGGAATTTGAGGTTGATTACTGTTGTTTTTGTTTGTGTCCTGTTCTTAATTTTGTCTTGGATTTTTTGTGGTTCCCCTATTAGATGCTTGTGAATTTGTTTTGGTGTTTGATTGGAATTTTGTTGAGATTGAATTCATAGAATATAGTACAAGATTGATAGAAGGAAAGTTGAATTGTTCATTCATAGAATGTTGTCCGTGATTGAAAGCCAGCCCTCCTCTTACTAGTATCGCAAGAAGAGGAGGAAGTAAATGTGAAACTTTTAGAATGATTTTTCTTTTAAGGAAGGTGACTTCTGAGCTTTTAGATGGATGCCTAATTTCTCCAGATTTATTGGATCTTTATGTACTAGAAAGTTCAATAATCATTGAGGACCTCACGCTGCGGAAAATTGTTAGCTGTTTGTTGATCAGGATGGTAAACCGGCAGGGCTTATCGACGGGGAGGAATTCTTTTTCCATTCCAATTGATGGTTGTTTGAATTTCTGCTCCTTCAGTAATTGATCGGCTAAGCTTCCTTTGTGGTTTGCAAACGTTAATTTTTCCAGTGTTATCTCTATTGGTGTATAAATTATGAAATTAATGCATATGCTTGCAAAATGCTATATTCTACTTGGTAATATTGGGGATTATTTCTTGACAACTGTTTCCCTTTTTTGAAATTATCCTAAGGTGTTTGCTTTCTTTTTTTCCCACAATTCCCAGCTCCCAACTCCAGATGGCGATGTTCAGATGCTCCTCACCGAGTAGATACAACCAGCCCTTCTGCTGTATGGAAATGTAGCTGAGGGAGCTCGATATCCATGTAATTAGCGTTCTAATTTTAGTGTTTTATCTCTCAACTCACAACCTAGAGTCTGGCAGAGTCTTATGTAAACTAGCTGTGGAGCATCCCTCCTCTTATTGAGCTTTATGAACATCAATAAGAAGAGAATGTTGTGTGTTTTTATGTACCTAGACAAGTACCAAATGTAACATCAAGTGTCTGAACCGTGCCTATTGGAAGTAATAAGAAGGAACTACTTTTAGATTATGATTTTGGGATACTGGATTGGATGTTTGTGCTCAATTTATGTGCCCTAGTTCTCAACTAATAACTATCAAGGATTGGTCATGTATGGATGATATTTTATGCTGTTTAGGACTGAACTTCCTAAGGAGATTGCTAGAGGCAGTTGTGTCTGTCGTGACTGCTCCATCTAGTCCTGTTCATGCCCCACACCGACGAGCTCTGGACATAGCACTTCCGAGGAGGGCAGGTGCATTTCCTCTTGTACCAGGCACTTCAAAGCAGCTGCCTTTATTTACCTGGATGGTTGAGAAAATCCGAATAAGCTATCCTGAATGCCATGCTGTGGTGGTTAATTACCATTGAAATCTTTGAGGATGATGTCTTTTCTGGTGAAACCGTTCATAATCTTTTAGGTAGGTTACTAGTTTCTAGCCCGTGTGCTGACATTGTACTCTTGATCACATATATATTTTTCAATGTAATAAAAATATTTAGATTGCTAGAATTATTTAACATTGGTATTAAATTTAATTCAATATATTAATATTAAGATTTTTTAATTTTATTTTTTGCCAATGTTAAATTTAAAATTAAACAATAAAAAAGTCGATGTGCATTATAAAAAAGTTTAAGAATGGAATTAACAAAAAAAAAATTCAATCCAACTTTTTAGATCATGTGGAAATAATCATATATAACTTAATTTGTATAAAAATAATCTAAAGTAAAAAAAAAAATAATTAAAATGATAAGAAAAAACTTCTTAATTTTATTTTTATCTAATTTAAATTTAAAATTAAATAATTTAAAATTATTTTAATATTATTATTGGTCTAAAAATAATCTAGAAAACAGTAAAAAAAATCAAAGAAGAAAACTGAGAAGAAAAATATAAGAAAAAAGGGCTGAATTAAATAAGAAAGACCTTCACTGTTAGCGCTTTTTTTTTTTAAAAAAAAAAGAAAGAAAGAAAAAGAAGCGCAGAAGGTAATTTCCGCGACTCTTGAAGGAATCGAATCGGTGGAATATCGATAATAGCAACGTAAGTAATCAGATGCTCTTTCATAAAGGTATTAAATAAAGAAAAGATGGATGCATCTAACCTTTTTCATACAATGAATTTGGTTTCTCTTCACAAGAGAGGTCCCTTGATCCTACATGTACAGTCAACTCCCATTTCATCCCGTTTTAATTTTCATAGTTCAAAACTATTTGTTTTTCTTTTATATATAATTATTCGAGGAGAAGAGATATTATCGGATCAATTTATACGTCAATGCAGATTAAATTTCTTATTCAAATAATTTTAAAGACGCAACTCTTGTATTATTATCATGCGTTCAGAAGCTCGGGAACAAAAAGATAGTATATAATTCCTCGAAGCCACGCTACACAGATTTCTCTTCCCATTCTACCCATCACAACCCTCTTAAATTACCACCATCCCTTCTCTCCCTGTCTCTCTGCATCGACAATGGCTTCCTTCAACATCCTCACTCTCTCTCTCTACCTTCTCTCTCTAATCCTCTTATCAAAAACTCGTCTTTCTCTCTCCCTAACCACCTCAGATATCCATGATCTTCTTCCTCAATATGGCCTGCCACGCGGCTTACTCCCTGACAATGTGGAATCCTTCACTCTACCATCATCTGATGGGTCTTTTGAAGTCAAACTTAAGACCCCGTGCTATGTTCACTTTGATGATGTCGTGTACTATGATAAAGTAATCAAAGGGAAGTTGAGTTATGGTTCCGTGCATGATGTCTCAGGTATTCAAGCAAAGAAGCTCTTTGTTTGGTTGCCAGTTACTGGGATTGAAGTTAGCAAGGCTGATGATGGTATGATTAGTTTCTTTGTTGGCCCGATTTCCGAGGAGTTGCCTGCTAAGCAGTTCGAGGATGTTCCTGCTTGTAAGAGGAAGGTTGGCGGGCTAAGGACATATTTGGAGTCGATGTGAAGGTAAAAAGTTGTGATCTTTAGGATTTTATTTCTCTGAATTGTTTGAATTTGTTGGTTTTATATGTTTTGTTACGAGATGCTATTGAGAATTGATGGGAATTGTAAGTTAAAGCTAAGGAATTTTTGTTTAGAGGCTAGACTTAGCAGTGGTGATTAGGAGGTTCCCAGATAATTTAGGGATGATCAAAATCCACACGGAGCCGTGGGTTCCTTTTAGGTTTCAGCAGACAATTTGATGATCACTTATTCTAAAAGGAAATTTAGAAGCTTTCTTCTCGTTGATCTGATTAGATTTTGGGACTTATAGATAGGATATAATTTTATGAACCTTTTAGTTAAAGTTGTCGAATTTCGATTTAGAAGTTAATAATTTAGCTAGAAAGATTCAGGCATCATCAATGGATTTCTTACAGAGTCATGCGTGGATTCCTTCTTGTTTCCAATAAAACAAAAAATGTGATGGTCACGTATTACCTTATATCCGCAGTCACTTGCTCTGAAAGTAAATTGTAGAAGTAGGTGTGGTTTGGTTTTGGGACCAATAGGTGGTTAAGACTTTCAAGCATTTGATTGACATTGATTGTACCTTGTTATCAGCCTTGTTAAGAGTTTTTGGTGAGATTGCAAGAAATGGTTTTTAGAAGAATCGACCCCTTCTATACTTGCAGTAATGTGCGACTCGAACCAAGTTGCGAACAGAAATTAGCATGAAACTGGAGGAAACAAAGAAGCTTGATACTTGTTATAAGGGAGGGAGGGGAAATGGTTCTTTTAGCTTGGTGTATTAGGATCATTAACAACCTATACAAGGTTTGGAGGTTTCATTGAGCGAACTTTATAGAAAACAATGTCAATCAGCTTTTAGTTAATTGTAATTTCTATTGGTGGTTGACACTTGAAATCAGGAAGGGGTGTTGCTTCCTCTTTTCCAAAACATTCTCAACCATCAAAGTTGTGTTTAATTTCGAGAATTGTGATGAATCCAGAAGTTTGAGCATCCTGGAAGGGAAATGTAATGTTTTTCTAGCGAAGAAAGTCGACAATGGATTCTTAGTTTATGGTTTGTGTGGACAAGCTGCATGATGATCTAGATAGAATCTGATCTCAGTTTGCTAAGATTGTTCTTAAACCACCTCAACCGATGCCGGTTTTTCCAAATTTCATCAATAATTATTTAATTTCAATCATCTATTGTCATTTATGTCGAAAATCGGAGGCCAAATACTTACTCATATTGCTATACAATCAACAATGAGAGATGTGATTTTGGTTTCTTTTAGAAGTTTCGCAGTTCCGACTTCCAATGGACGAAATAGCCGAAAGTTATAATATTATAAGTCACGTCCTGCCAAGTTTTTCAAGGACTAAAGAAGGTGTCATGCTCTTGTTGCAGGTGGAAGCAGACCAAATCTTCTCTTGCGTTGCCTGCACACTCTGAACTTTGAAGTTCTCCAGCTTAATCTACATCTTTGAGAAATTGAATCAAATTTATGTAATATGGATTGTAAATAAATGCTGCTCTTCAACATTTCTGCTCAGGGACTCACCTTATGCCGAGCAATGATTTGGATATGCATAAATACAGAAACCATGGATGAAATAGTAGTTCAAACTATTGGGATAATTCTCATCAATCGCATTGCCCTCGTATGAAACGTAAGGGTAAATTTAATCTTAGCGAGTGAGGGGGAGGCAAACTTGTGATTCTTTGAGCTAGATTTTAATTTGAATGCTAAATACGTGTGACTTGATGGTTTTGAATTGTACAGTTGAGTGACTGGCTGACAATCAAGGAAGGCAACTTGCTAATTCTCTTTTATGTCAAGAAAGGGCATCATATTTTCGGATAAATTGTGCAATAAACACGACATGGAAGTATTTTTATTTTTATTTTTGTTGATGAAATAGAAAAATTTAACCGTGCAATCAGTTTATAATGGTTAATAATAATAATAAAAATCTTAATACTGTCAAACTCGGGCAATTTTGATAGGATTTTTGATATTTAAAAATCTTGTAATTTATATGTAACGAGTCACTACTATAAAAAATAAATTTTAAAAATTCTGGTAAAAATTTAAGTGTTGTTTAATAATCAAATTAATTGTTATGATCTTTTTACATTATTATTCTAATTTGGTGTGTTATAATTTTTTTTTAAACTTAGATTTATCTCAATAGTTTATAAATATATCTACTAAAATATTTGTGTAATCTATTTGAAACATATTTTTTTTAGTTATGATAAATTTATACATAACTAATTAGAATTATCTATTATTATATGAATACTAATTTTTTAAGATTTTAATAGAGATTTATTTTGAAGTTTATAAGTTGACAAAAATAATTTTAACTTATAAAACATATTTAAAAAAAACTTAATAAAATTATGATTTTTGTATGAAATAGTTAATTAATTAATATAACTGGATTTAACTAATCAACTAATTTAATCAACTAATTGAGATAAAAAATTAAAATTCAACCATGTCATGACTTTATAAATCTAATATTTACTTAATATAACTATTTTAAAGTATAATAATTATCAATAAATATTATTATTTTTAAATATAACATGATAAAATTATGTAATTTTATTAAAACCTTTTGAAACAATAGTACTATGCCAAATTTTTACATTTACCGTGCTGTTATTTTTTCAATAAAAAAATCCCATGTTTTGCCGGGTCTGCAGCGGATCTCCGCAGCCGTTGTTGTGTTCAG